GACTGCAAAGCTCTTTGTACTGCAAGGTCGGTGGTTCAAGCTCACCAGCTGCTCCTAGGAAACCCTATACAGGGTTGTTATGGGTCAGAATCGACTCAACAGCACTCAACAACAACAACAAATGAATCAGAATCAATTTGACAGCTGTGGGTTTTTTTTTGTTGTTGTTGTTGTTTTTAATAACTTAGGATCTTTTTATAGACATTACCCTTGCCGTCTCTTTATTTTAAAACCAGAACTATTGTGGATGAAGGTACACAATCTATTTTGAATTGATGCTGAGTTACTCTTTGGGAAACTGGATTTCAAAGTCAACCTAGGGTAATGCTCACATGTTGAGTGGGGGGAAAGAAAGAGTGAGAAAGAACAAAACTGAAGTTTAGCTAGTTGACTGCACACTAAGAGAAACCACATCAAAGATTTTTATTTAAATAAGATACAGATGCTTCATGCTGGGGCCAGAGGAGTTCACCTTTCTGTGCATTCTCCTGTTTTGCCCTCAGAAACATCCATGAAATAGGTATTATTATTCACATCCTATAGGGAGATGGAGAAAGACTAAGAAAGTTGTCCGAGATCTTTAATAGGTAGCTGAGTTGGGTGCAAACTTTGTAATTCTCAACCCCTTTGTTATACTGTCTGGTGACACATGATGCCTGACCTGTTGCGCTGCCTACAAAACCACCAAGAGTGTGACCAACTTGGCCCCTCACTTCTAGAAAGAGGAGGATGTGCCTTCCCTTGAAATGTAGTAAGACTTGATTAAGACAAATGTTTAATTAAGACACTACATATTTCATATAGCAGACCATATTCTCTTAGTCCCAACTATCACCAACAGAAATTGAAAGGATTTCAGTAACAGCCTTGAGGCCATCCACATCTAATTGCTTGAAATCTCCTATGAGCTTACAAGAATCATTTAAATGAAGCTTATTCTAAGGACATCATATTCATAATCTACATTAAGCCCTAGACCCATCTTCCTGTCATTAATGACTCTTCTCCATTATGTTTCAGGTTACTGTGATGGCAAATCGGAAAGAAACATTTTGTAGTCACAGGTTTCATTTGAAAACTTTCCATCAACTCTGATCCAGTCTTCAACTCTATTTATCTTAAGAATGTAGTTTGCCCCTTTCTCTCCTAACAGTAAACGTAACACCTCCGGAACATGTAAAAATATATGTGGGGACAAGTGAATCTGTTGGAAGCCAAATGTGTATCTCTATTGGAGTTTTTTAAGGAATAATTTGAGACCTAGGATTCCAGAATTTGGTTTATTAAAATATAGTCACACATTTCCTATGACTTGAGTTTTTAATGTGTGTTCCTGTCTGTGTCTAGGTAAGAAGTCCTACAAATGGTCAGGATTTTGTACATTAGAAAGGCATTCTTCCTTCCCAGCACTTCATGACCTTTGACTTGTCCTAGTGTCTAATTTCCATTATTAATGACTGTGGCTTCTCACTTCCTGAAAAAGGGCTTTCCCCATTAACCCCGGAAAGCCCTAGCCACTAGCCTAGCCAAGGCCCTGAGGCCTAAAGAGGAAGTGAATGCAGGCCAAGCCAGAAGCCTGAGGTCTCAGGCAGTCCCAGACCTGTGAGGTGGGCCACACAGCGGTGGACTCAAGCCAGCTGGGTTCATAGGAAGAAAGGTGAAGCCAAGACCCACAAGAGTCAGCATGAGCTCCAGTGCCCAAGCCCCACATGGTCTCAAGCACTTAATTCACATCTTATTTTTTAGTTGTGGCTGAAAGGTTAAGGGGAGAGAGGCCTCTGGCTTCCCTGAAGGGAAGGAAGCCTGGAGGGGGAGGGGGGGTCTCTGGAAGCCGAGTCTGTAGGAAAGATGATCACTGTGCCTTGCATCTGGAGGGAGCAGGGAAGGAGATAGGTAGGGATGAAAGGAACCTGGGGGATGTGGGGAGATACCACCAGTGTCCCACACCATCTGCAGCACTTGTGAACACTGATAGGTCCCAGAGTGGTACAATTGTCTGTGCTGTAGGATGAGCACTGGACTGCTAGCTGCAAGATCAGCAGGTCAAGCCCAACAGTAACTCCTTGGAAACCCGAGTCCTGGTGTGGTGTTGTGTGTTAATGCGTTGGACTGCAGGGTTGCTATGGGTCAGAATCGACTTGATGGCACTTAACAACAATGAATTGGAATAGACTGAATGGTACTTAACAACAACTAACACAAACGTTGGCAGTTTGAATCAACTCAATGGTGCTGTGAATGAGAGCCCTGGCCATTTGCTTCCATAAAGATTACAGCCAAGAAAAGTCAATGAAGCAGAGATGTGTTGAACATCTACTATGTCCCTTTCTACATGCTATTTCACATTCTAGTTAATGGTCCAACCTCCAAGCGTTGGCATATCCCTGATTTTAGCCTTTGGCTCTGGTTTCTTTTATTGTCCAGGATATTCAATAAAACCATGGCTCTGTAAATACCATCTGACGCCCAACGTTGTAGCTCTAGGCACAAGCTCCACATCCTTGTATTCAGCAACCTCCTCTTTATTTGGCTATCTCACTGGGATAGTATACTTCTATGCCCCAATTCAAATTCCTGCCTCACCCACCCTCATTCTTCTCCCAGTCTTCCACATTGTGTCACCTGCCACACCATCCAACAAATGTCAGGGTTCTTCATCTTCAAAATCGGTCCATCAAAATAAACCACTTTCTCAAAGTATGAAGGTGAGTAAAAAATTATTCACAATCTGATTATATTAAAATGCCCATCCAAGTCCACAGCATGCACGTGAAATGATTCTGTTGAATACATAAGTGGCAGCGGATTATGTGGCAAATCATTTGCCAATCAGCTATGGCTCTGCCTATGAAATAATCCATGGCAGACTTGGATTTCAAGTTTGTGTGAGATGGGTACCGAAACAACTCACGGAAGAGCATCAACAGAAGTGTTTGGACATCTGCAAACAAAATTTGGACCGATATTCAAAGGAAAGTAAAAGTCTTTTAAAAAAATTTTGTTACTGGTGATGAGATATGGATTCATCACAATGAGCCTGAGAATAAATGACAGAGTATGGAATGGAAACATCCTCAATCGCTGACCAAGAAAGTCAACCATCAACTGGAAAATTGATGTTTAGTTTTCTGGGATTCTCAAGGGCCAGTAATGGAACAGTGTCAGGAAAATGGCTCAACAATCAACAGTCACAGTGAGATGCTCACTGAAGAACTGAAGTCTAGACTTCAAATTAAACACAGAGGACTGCTGTCTAAGGGCGTTGTGATCTTACATGACAACGCATGTCCTCACACCTCTGCCCACACTGTTGACAATCAGCAAAATCTTCATTTTGAGGTGTTAAAGCATCCTCCCCTATAGTCTTGATCTTGCTCCATTGGACTTTCACTTGTTTGGTCCTCTGAAAGCAGCCCTTCAAAGATGAAGATTCACCTCTGATGATGAAGTGAGGACAGTGGTGTATTCCTGACTCATAGCTCAGCCTAAAACATATGAAAGCTTGTTGACAGATGGACAAAGCGTATCGCAATGCAAGGAGATTATGTCAAAAAATGATGTATTTGTTTTTCTAAAAGTTGATTAAAATAAATTCTACAACCAGAGTGTGGATAATTTTTTACTCACCCTTGTATATACCAAGCCAATCACGCCTCACAATCCCCCATTGAAAACATCCATCTCCAAGTTCTGTCATCTTCTGCTTCAGAATTTTCGCTTTCGACCTCAAAGTCCACTCCCTGCAGGGCAGCCAGAGTAATATTTAAAAACATACATGAGGTCATGTTGCTCTTGTTAAGTGCCGTCGAGTTGGTTCTGACTCAATAGTCACCCTGTATAGGGTTTCCAAGGAGCGACTGGTGGGTTTGAACCACCAGCTTTATGATTCAAACCAGCCTTGCAGTCCAGTGCTTTATCTCACAGCACCACACCAGGACTCCCAGTTCTGTTCATATCAGCCTGCAATTACAAACTTAGTGGCTGCCCATTCTATAGATTAAATGTTTCATGGCAGCCTCCAAGACCTTCTGTGTAACTTCTGTGACCCTCTAACTTCTCTGGCTTCAATTACCCTAGTTTTGAGAATGATCTCAGTTAATAGTTTGCATTTTCTTTGGCTGCACCAGTATCTTTTCTGCTCCACAAACATGCCCATCTCTGTGCATCAGCGTCTCCTCTGCCTGCAAAGCTCCTTTTCCCAGAGTCACATGGTTGGTGGATTCTTTCTTGCCATTCACATTTCCAGTCCAATGTCACTCTTCAGAAAGGTCTCCCTAGACCCCCATCTGAATTACCATCACTACCACAGCATTTTTTGTATAGTCTTCATGTCACTTTTTCATTCTATGATGCTATATTATTTATTGACTTTTATTCAGTGTTTCTCCCACAAGAAGGTAAACTCCCTGAGGGCAGGAGCTGTATTCCCAGCATCAAGGGCAGTGTCTGGCCACAGCCAGGGCTTAATAAACGCCTGGTGAATAAGTCAGTGAAGGGTCCACATCACGTTCTTCCTTGCACACATTTTAGAGGCATCCAACCTTGTGTCTGATACCACGTTCTTTAAATTAAAAAAAGAGATCACCTTTAAGTTTTCTTCAGAAATTGCTCAAGCACTCTTGACATCCATAAATAATCCTGAGATCTTACAAGTCCAGAGACCTGGGTGAGTTCCAACCTCACTTCAGAAACCAGGAAGGAGGAGATGTGATTGCTGGACAGTTATAAATAACAAATTTATTAAAGTTAATTAATTATATTACAAACACACTGAAAAAGTTCATATTTAAAAGGAACCTGTAGAAAAAATCCTTTTGAAAAACAAAGATAATGTTGAATAATCATCCCTTAATTTGTCATTGTTGTAAGTGTGCATTTGCATAGGTTAAGTTTTCATAAAGTAGAGTATGCTTGTATAATGGTGCTGGAAATGAACTCCTTTTGAAAACATGCTAGGGCTGGTTCCAAAATGAGAAATGTGACCTGCAGAAACAAAATAATTAGCTGGAAATAATAGATAAATCATTTCTTCTTACAGATGTGTCTGTAAAAATGGCTCCCTTTTCTGGGAAGAAGAGGCAGCGAATAATTTTCCTCCACTCATTCCTGAACAGTGACATGTTGTAGAGAATGGGGTTGAGGGCGGAATTAGAGAATGTGAAGGCCACCACCCAGAAGAAGAGGGATGGCCAGATGACCAGGTCTTGCTTGAAGTTCTGGATCAAGATGAGGAGGATGGTGATGATGATGGGGCTCCACATGATGAAGAAAGAGACCATGAGCAAGAAAAGCGTGCGGAAGAGCCGGAAGTCCTGCTGGGAGACGCGGATCTGGTGGCTCTCTGAGTATGCCAGGCTCACTGTGAGCCTCTTTCTGGATGCCTTTGTGATCTGCAGGGAAGCAAAACAGAACAGAGACCCAGATGACTAAGGAATGCCACCAAGGGCTTTTCATTTAGGAGGACTGAATGGTCCAGAGTTGGTATCTGCTATCCTGGCTGCACCAGGGATGTCTGGCTTTGGAAATTCATGGGGGAGTAAACTCATTGTGGCACACTGTCCACACTCAAAGGGTGCTGGAAAAACATGGTGCCTGGCTGCCCGCCCCATGAGGCAGAAAATAACCCATGCTGCAAATCGAGTTAATGAGGGGAGGTGAAAAGGCCTGAATTAGGCCGTCTAGGAAAGAAGCACAAATGAAGAGATGCACAACTTTCCTATTACTCCTTTTTGAAAAATCAAATGTATAAAAGCCATGTGTGCTTGAGACACAAACTCAAACAATATAATACTGAAGGGAATGAAATAAATATGTACAAGTGGGAGACATCTGACCTCCTGTGTCCTTCACCTTAGAGGTGACCAAGTAGATGGTTACCCTTCTGGACATGTCTATGAAATTGTAGATGCCTGCATTTTTGCTATACAAACATGGAATCACAGAATGCACCCTGGCCTGAAGACTGCTTCTTTTTAATAGTATGTGTTGCAAGGATGCCCAAACTTGCAGATAGCACCCATTTGACCTAACCTTGATGGCTTGATAATCAGAACTCAGCTACAGGGAGATTAAAAAAATTTTTTTTTGATAAAGGAAACAACTGTATATTGCTACAATTTGATGAACTTGACCTATTCTTATGGATGTAGTAACTCAAAATACTGAGAGAGAAGGAGTCTTCACATCAAGTATTAATCCTATCCCCTTTGTACATAGGGTTGATAGAGACGGGCAACTTAGACATTGGCTACCTAAAATGACGGGGCGATAAAGGCACGAAGTGACTGGCTTACAAGTTTTCAAGAGAGAATTTAGTTTAAGAGTGTGCAGGGAGAGGTAGAGTTCCCACTGAATAGTTTTCATTTGGTCTAGACAGGTCTGGTGAAAAGAGATGGGGATAAGATTCTTATGATTTAATAGTAAGTGTTAACTAATTGCGATTGTCACAACCGTAAAGGTAGAAGTTTTGTAACAAAAACAGGAGAGTAGTTAATCTTATAGTCCAGGATGGACTTGATGGACCCCAGGACCATCAAGAGAGAAGGGTACAAGTGGAATGTGGGACCCTATCCAGAGAAGCAGCAACACCAGAGATGGAGGTAGAGATAAGAACATGGAGAGAGAGAGAGAGCAGCTGAGGGCTCTAGACTCATGGAAAGAGAAAGGTTGTGTGCTTGTGGCTAGGAGGCAGCCTTGCAGAATGTGCCCTTTGGTTGTTTAAATTTGTACATATTCCTGAGAGTTTTTGTGTGGTGGTGGTGGGAAAGGCCACGGACAGTGGGAGGGTGGCAGAGCTAGTGATAGAGGCTGAGGGAGGCAGCTGAGACCCATCTAATGCACAGCTAGCCTGTGAAGTGATGGAGAATGGTACCTATTTGAATAGCATGTTTTGTTCTAGTCTGCTTTCTGTGACCCCAGGAAGAAGATCCAGTTCACACTCACTTGACCACATTAATAGTCCTTGTTAATGGGCCTTCTGCTTTTTCCGGCCACTGAATAGATGCTTATGCCATCGACAGACTCAGTGACTGAGGAATCTCATTATGAGCTCTGTGCTCGCCTTCCTTGGCCCATTCCCCTAAGATTCCTGAATCTCAACAGGAGAAGTAATTAGAAGGTAATTTGCATTATTCACAAGTGTGCAAGGGAATTGTGCAAATTCCAAGACAGGTGGCCTTAAAAGATTCTCCTTAGGATGCTTCTAGTTAGCTAGTTGAAGGGCAAGCCTATAGGTGGTACGTATAGTTACTGCGCTTGGCTGCTAACTGAAAGGCTGGAGGTTCAAGACCCAGAGGTGTCTTGAAATAAAGCCTGATGATCTGCTTCCAAAACTCTAGTTCTACTCTGACACACCTGGGGCCACCATGAGCCAGAATTGACTTGGCAGCAACCAGTTTAATTGAAAGAGCGATTTTTCATGAGTCTGAACTGACTCCACGGCACTTGACAATAACAGCATGATTAAATGTGATTGCTGGCTTGGATCTGTACAGTCGGTTAGGTCCACCTCTCGGTTTGGAAACGGAGCAACAGATGCTGAGTGAACAAGCCCCCTCCCTCCACCCATCTTCAGCATCAACAGCAACAAGACACTAGTTAGGAGAAGGGCGTTTCCCTGAGTGTTCTCTCTGCACCAGGCACTGTGCTGCACATTTGTCTCACAAGTTGTCACACACTTCATCTTCACAACTACTCACTGAGTCTGTCCTATTGTTATTTCTACTTCCTGGAGGAGGGAACTGCGTCTCATGAAGTCATTTATGCAAAGTCACTCCACTAATGATAAACAGTCAAAGCTCCCGTTTGTAGAAATGGAGCTCAACTGAGCTAAAGTGTAACTGTCTCCAGGAGTCCTGGTGCACTACTATAGGATAAGCACTGGACAAAAAGGGCAGTTTGAGTCACAAGGTTGGTGGTTCAAACTCACCAGTTGCCCCTCTGGGTCGCTATGAGTCGGAACCAACTTCATGGCAGTTCATAACAACAACAGAACATGAAAGACTTGAAATGTATTGTCAGACCAGTCAGCAACCACCTCTAGGCTGAGAGTTGCTCAGGAGACATAAGCCACCATCTTGGGCTCATATGCTGGTGATGGTGAGACACATTCAAGGCTGCAAGTTGCTGTGTAGAATGAAAATACAGATTCTGTCACTTCCTTCTTTCCACAGTTCCCACAACTTGCTAGGGGTGAGGCGGGAAATGGGGTCTTTATAATTAAACATGACTCCTGTCTTGCTCTGTGATACAGATGGCAAGACTAGTTAACAATAATACATTTATTTAAAAACAAAACAAAAAAATTTCTTTGAGTCAGTTCTGATTTACATGAAGCCCAATGTGTGTCAGAGTAGAACTGTGCTCCGCAGGGTTTTCAATAGCTAACTTTCCAGGAGTAGATCACCAAGCCTTTCTTCTGAGGAACCTCTTTGTGGACTCGAACCCCCAACCTTTTGGTTAGCAGCCATGAACATTAACCATTACTACCATCCAGGGACTCTAGTCAACATTTATCCAGGGTTTAAAATGTCTCTAATGTTATGCTTGATGGGCTTTTACATTAGATTAAATTCTCAGTTAGCTTTTGAGGACTAACTTTCATCCTCAAAACAAGTCTACAAAGTAAGTCTGGCATGATCTCCATTTCTAGAGTAATAGGTAGAAGCTCTGAGACGGAGCTCTTCATCTCCCCAGAAGGAGAATTGTTCTCCTCAGAAGGCCGCCCTCAACCTCACAGTCACCACTAGAACGCAAATACTTGGACCCCAACTTCAGATATTCTGATATTGTGGTTCTGAGTGGGACCCAGAAATCTGTGCTTTAAATAAATTGTCCAGGTGATTCTTGCTCACTAGCATATGAGAATGATTAATCTAAGACAACAGGCTTTGTGTGGGCCCCCTACCTCTCTGTTCCCCGCTCCCATCCTTCTACCTCTTTGTTCCCCACCCTCTAACTTTTGAAGGAGAGTCTCTTTTAAAACCATCCTGTTGAGACTTTCTGCCTTCACACTCATGTAAATTTTTGAAGACTGGAGTTTGAAGACTCCATATATACCCCTTTGTCACCGTGCTCTGGTAGCATAGTGATTACAATTCAGGCTGTTAACCTCAAGGTCTGCAGTTCTAAACTACCAGCTGTTGCGCAGGAGAAAGATGAGGCTTTCTGCTCCCATAAAAATTCACATCCTCGGGAATCCTGTACATGGTCACTACTAGTCGGAACCGACCCCGCGGCACATCACCACGGCTACCATCAAACCCCTTAGCCATGCCTCAGTTGCTCTCACTAGCTGGGAAACAATGATGATCTTTGTGGTTGACAGGTGCAGGTAGAGGACACTCCCCACTAACACAGCTCTGATCTAGTCACTCCCCGAGGGCCACACAGAGTAGATGGCTCTGGGGCTTGTCCTGGCCAATCAGCAGCTTCCCAATTAGAAACATCATCCAATACACCTCTGTCTTTCTAGAGGACTCACCTCCTTTCCATCTCTGGTCAGCAGGCCCCAAAGCTGGGGGTATGAGCGTCAGGCGGGAGGAAAGGGCTGCATCTTCACTGTTTAACACCTTCATGTTTAACAGATCCTGTTTCTCAGCTAAGCTCTGAGATAGGCAGAGGGTTATCCTACTATCCGAGTGACGGACTCACTCACTCATTCAACAAATATTTATTGAGCACCAACCGTGTGCTAAGCACTTTTATACATGCCGGATATACAGCACTAAAATGCTCTATAACAGCAATCAACAAGAAGGTGGGGGCAGGAAGCCCCGCCCACACTGCACTTGCAATGCAGTGTTTGTAGGGGAGAGGGGAACAAGAAACGTCCACCCAGCTACAAAGGGTAGAAGCCTCACATCAAGTCATGCGATGGTTGCTGGGTAATAATGCACACTAAGCCCCAACAGCTCGCATTGACCGCCTGCTAGCAGGCACTGGGGAGTGGCTGGGATGCTATTTCCCTGGGAGACAGTTGATTGGAAAAATCCACTAAATATGTATTGTGTTTCTGAGTCACAGTGTGGAAAGAAGAAGCAGGGATGGCTGTTGTTCTGAGCACCCTGAAGGGTGATGGGCAGGGGAAGATAGTAACCCCACTGCTCTGAATCCTGGTCCACGACAGAGCCAGCAAGTAGGACAGTGGTGTTAGAGCAGAGTTTCCCAAAGGGGGTGCCATGAAGCGCCAGTCCAGGCGCTTTCCCTTGGGGGAAAGGTCTGGCTTTGTTTTTCTTTTTTAATCTTCTGACAAGTCTGCCCTTGCAAAGCCTATGGAGCACAGTTCTGCTCTGACACACAGAGTCACCAAGAGTTGGAGTGGATTTGATGGCAACTGTTACTGGTTGTTGTCACATGTCACATGGCCTACTCTGTTCCCTTGCTAGAGATCCCCAGAGGGCATTAGTGTAACAAAGCCTCAGAGCAGGCCTGCCCATTTACTCTGCTTAGCTGAGCATTTCACCAACGAAGGAGACCACGGGACCCTTTCTGATAGCTTCGAACACTGCATGGGGTTCTAGAGAGCATTTCAGACAAGACTGTCCTAGAGGAATGAAAATTGAAGATGATTTGGAAGAGATGTGTCTAGAACCTAGAGATGGGCATGGGTTAGAGGCAGTAGAGACAGATGAGTCTTGAGGACTGGCCTTCTAATTACATGCCAAGTGGCTTCAAATGTTCTCTAATTGCATTTTATCTCTATGCATACAGACCCAGAACTGGGATCTGTGATACTGTTGCTGTTAGGTGCCGTGGAGGCGGTTCTGACTCACAGTGACCCTGTACAGGGTTTCCAAGGAGCTGCTGGTGTGCTTGAACCATCGACTTAGTGGTTTGCAGTCCAGTGCTTATCCTACAGTGCCATACCAGGGTCTGTGATAAGGAGAGTTGAAAATTGGCTGTGGGTTTATATTCAAAATATTGAGAGAATGATGAACTGCTGTCACCTTTACATTTGCATATAAACACTGGGTTTTGAGACTGATTAAGAGGGCACCTCCCTGAACTCATCAGATTTCTTTTTCTTTCTTTCTTTCTCTCTCTCTCTCTCTTTCTTTCTTTTCTTCCTTTTTTTTCCCTAGAGTTTTTTCCAGGTAGAACTAGGCCTGGGGTGTGGGGAGGGAAGAGAGGGTGAGTGAAAAATTTTCCATAGAATAATCCCATCTGCTATCACTACCTGCAACTGAAAGGTGTGAGGCAGGAAGGAAAACAGGACAAACTTTGGAGCCTTCTTGCCTCTAGGGAACACAGGCGTAGACTACTCAATGCTGCGTGCCCCGTCTGGCCTGTGCTGCTGTAGGATGGGTTCCTTGTTCTCTCTGTGCTCCAAATCTGAGTTCCTCCTATTCATCTTCCCCCAAATCTCAGTGGTACCTGTTGCCATCATGCTCTAAGAGAGGGGATGGTCATGCCTAGCAAATAACCACAGAGGTCATTTACTCTGCATCTGGTACAGGCAAGCACCACACTACTGTTACACCAGCGATTGTTCTCATATGCCTCGCAACAACCTTATCCTATTAGTTACTGCTAACATTTTGTAGATGAGAGAACTGAAATTCAGAGAGGTTAAGTAACTTGCCCAAGACCACAGCCAGCAGATTTAGGACTTACAATGTCTTCACACAGTCTCAACATTACTTTCCCTTGGGTTCCAGGGTCTCACTACATTGAATAGTAGCACCCTTGTCCAGGTCCCTCCTCCCTCTCCTGTGTCAAAGTTCCTTCTAGGTAGAGAATGTGATTTGCTCACTCTTGGCTCATGCCTCAGCCCTCACCAGCACTTTGCACAGAGCATATCCTCAACAAATGTCTGAGGAAATAGTGTTGGAACTCTGGAGCCAGACTGCCTAGATTTAAACTCTGACACCTTGGGTACATTACTTCAGCATTCTGTACTTTGGTCTTCTCTATCATTCTTATCAGATTAGATGAGTTACAGAGGAAGAAGAAACCCAAGGCTCAGAGAAGAAACTAGTAGACAGGACTAATAGTCTCATAACTAAGTCCCTATCCACCCTGAGACCAGAAGAACTAAGGGATACCCGGCTACAACCAATGACCAACCATCTGATCAGGGCCACAATAGATGAATCCTCACAAGAGAGGAAAATGGAACAGAAGTCAAATTCTTCAAAGTCCAGATATACTGGACCGGTTGAGACTAGAGGACACCTTTAGACTATTGCACTGAAATGTTCTATAAATCTAGAACTAAAAGTATTCCCTGACGTCACCTTTGTGCTAAATAACAGATTGGCAAATATGAAAAAGAATATTACTTGTGAGGATTGTACACTTTTTAAAAATCATCTCTATGAGATCATACCATCAACAATTACTCTAAAGCAAAGATGAAAGGGTTAAGGTGACAGGGAAACTAAATGACTTAAAATAAAACATCCAGAAGGGAATTAATGACAATAGCAACCCAATGTGGCACACGTAACCAATGTCACTGAGCAATTAGTGTAGCAATTATAAAGTAGGAACTGAATTTGCTGTTTAATCTTTTACCAAAAACACAATAAAATATATTTTTTCAAATTAGTTAACTCAAATAAGTGAGTTAGCTCCTGGCACATTGTAAATACTACATAAATTTTTGTTCCATGAACTTATATGGAAACATCCATATAAATGGAGAAGAGATTGAAGTTGTCAAATACTTCATTTCGTTCAGATCAACCATCAACACTCATGAAAGTAGCAGTCAAGAAATCAAACGGTGTATTGCATTAGGCGAATCTGATACACAAGACCTCTTTAAAATGTTCAAGAGCAAAGATGTCAGTTTGAGGACTAAGGTGCACCTGACCCAAGCCATGATATTTT